AACATTTTTTATCAAAGTTGCCAATTTGTCGCCAGAAGCTTTATTGTTATAAACAACCAAGTCGAATAGACGGTTGAATATTGTCATATCATCAATAACAAACCGAACAAAAAAACATACCAACTGTTTCTATACAACGTAGACTCATCAAACATTATTGACAATCGGCACGACTTAGATGCCAATTCTTTTAAACTAACCATTTACTTGTCGTAATATTTTTGGCCACTTTGATTCAAAGTATTTTCAGATAAATGAGTGTGTTGCATAATATCTAATCTAAACTTTCTTAATTGCTTCGACTACATTATCAACAATCTGTTTTACTGAAGAATATATACTTAAAAATGTGTTCGTTCATCACTACTCCAATTTTTGTTGACAATATACGGCCCTGATAAATCAAGTCATTGTTTATATTTCATCAACGCCTTTTTGTTGTTTGACTCAACTTGGTTCTATAATAGTCGTTTGATGTTTGAATTTCTCAACGTTTTCTCCGATACAGACCGTTTCAAATAATTGATTTTTATAGTTAATCTATTCTGGTTTAAAATAAAACGAGTGCTTTTCGAATTGGTTTTCTACGTAAGAATGGGTGACAAATTTATTACACAAAATACATATATACAATCTTTTTATATGGTCAACCTCTTTTAATAAATAATTGGTGTTCCAATTATTAAAATAATCACACCTTCCAGTAAAAGTTTTCATATATTTTTTGTTAAGTTTTTGAAGAAATCAAAAACAATAGTAATTTACCACAAGACTAAATTTCTTGATATTTTTAATTTTGCTTTACATGACTGTGTTTCTTGTAATTAATAACTTAATAGTATCAAATTAGACTTTGTCTTGGAACACAAAAAAGTTTTTTGCCTTTATTAAAATTGTTTTTGATTGCAAATAGAATAAATACCAACTAGAAAAATAAAATCCAACAAAAATATGATAAGACAAATTAAAAACTTAATTTTTCCAACCTTAAATTACAATAGCCATAAAAAATTGATTTTCTTAAAATATTATTCAATAAAAATCAACCCTTGTCTTTTTAACTTTGTTTTAAAGAGCCCTGTACAAGAACACAAATACTTGTTGTACCAGCATTTGCAATGACTATAAATAAAGCACATGACCAGTCATTTACAAGAGTTGGAATAGATGTCTCGAATGTTTTCACATGGTCAATTATATGTAGACTTATCAAGGTGTAGAGATAATAAATATCTTAAAATTTAGTTGTCCGAAAACGGAAGTGTTAAAATAACAAAAAACGTCGTGTATAAAGAAATCATAAAAAACTAATTGATATTTTATATTATGTTTTCGAGGTGCTTCATATTTTTTAATATATTTATATAAATAATTATATTGTTATTATAAATAAATATAAATAAATAATGATAAACATTAGTATAATAATAATATAAAATCAGTCTGGAAACCTTATTTATTCCAAAAATTTTATTTATTTATTTTCCATTGAAAAAAATGCAAATTTGGGATGTTTAATAAATATTACTATTATTTAAACTATTTTCAAATAACACAACCAAAAACATAAATGGGGTTATAGTCCGTTAGCCAATGATTTCATTTTTTCTGTTTGTCAATAAATGGTGATAATAATGTTGTTATTTACCTAAAATAACGGGAAAATACCGTAAACAAACTGAGTTTTTTGTATCATTTTTTGAAGAATTTTGCTATAAGGCGTGAGTCGACTTATTAAATGTACTCTTACAAAAAGTGAAATGACGTCCACGCAGCCAAGACAATTTATTATAAACAATTTTTACCCGACTGCAGAACAACAATTCAATGTTCGAGTCTTCCAAGCGTGGTGTTCTTTTGATTATGACTGTCTCGTTGTTTTTTATTAATTATTTAATTAAATCCAAGTTGTTTGTTGTCAAATTCTCGTGTTGCATTTGTCATCTCACACACAAAAATCCACCCAACCGCTGCTTACAACAACGGCACCATTCTCTGGTGTTATACGCGATGTTTGAGTGTAAAAAATCAAATTTGTCAATTTGTCTAAGTTCGTTTGAATTGAAAAAACAAAGATTTCAAACAAAAAAAAATAATTCTGAAAAACAAAACCAAATAACAAAAAAATAACCTATTTTTGTCGATAAATAAGGTTTTTGGAATAAATAAGGTTTCCAGACTGACTTTATTATTTTTTTGTTGTATTGTTATTATTATAACAAGGATTCTGGAGAGGTGAATCTTTGTTATATAAATAATTATATTGTTATTATAAATAATTATAAATAAATAATGATAAACATTAGTATAATAATAATATATTATTATTATATATATACAGTATGTGAGAAAAGTATGTGAGAATGAGAAAACCCTGTGGATTCAACAAAAATTACATATTTGTTTTTCTTTTTTTAAATAAAAATGTTTTTCTTTAAAAAAAAACAATCTAAATAATATAATTATGAGCTCCAGGAATGTTGCTTTTAGTGGCTTAGACCATACAACACTTGAAAAGAATTTAAAGTATTGTCCTGGTCCAGTGAAAGAAATAGCCCAAAGAACATTCAGCAAACATTGCAACTTTTGTGAATTGCCCCTGAATGTTCAGGTGTATTTGATGAATATTGAAAGAGAAATTTTCAATGGAATTAATACGGAAAAGGTGACCGAGAGTAAACTATGTAGAGTCTTTGCTTTAACTTCAAGTCAGTTTAATATCAACAAACGAAGAGGTATGGAGACGGCATTGTTTGGAAAAAAAGATAACGGAAGACCGTCACTTTTAACTGAAACACAATGGGAAATTGTCAAGAATTTGATTCTTGATAATGAAAAGTTTCCAGGAAAATGCAAAGCTATCAGCATAACTTATTTGAGGTTGTTTATAATAAAAACCTTCAACGTTGATGTGTCAAACCATGTTATTTATGATAAAATACATAAAAATTGGAACTTTTCGATTGTTACTGTGTTTGCTGAAGACCAATCTCGATTGACCTACGACGAAGATGCCGTGTTGAAGTATTACATTGCACTGCCACTTTTTTTAAATGGCATCCCATCACCATTTATTTTGAATTTGGATGAGTCAGGGTATCAGCCATGGCCAGACAGGCAAATGGTGAAGGGAGTATTCACTGCTGGTTTTTCCACAGACAGTAAAATGAAATATGGAGTCGAACGTGACATTGCTCGATCCACTGTCGTTTGCACTATTACCCCCTCACAACCTCTTCCTTGTATGATTGTAACAAAATACAAAAGAGTTGCAGTTGAATTCTTGAAATTGGGTTGGATGGAAACCGGAAACATCGTCAGTTATAGCAAAAATGGTTTTATCAACAGTGACTTATTTATACAATACATCAACGACGTTGTAGTACCTTATATTGTCGACATGAGAATTAAGACTGGTTATATTGATAAGGCCGTTCTGATATTTGATCAGTGCACGTGCCACTCAATCGAAGATGTGAGGTTGTTGCTCAAGTCGAATGTCCAAGTCAACGAGAAAATCATCAACGTGAACTGTGAAATCGTATGTTTGGTGCCTCACACCTCACATTTAACACAACCATTAGATGTTGGGGTGTTTGCAGCCCAAAAAAGAAGACTGAATTCGTTGTATGCTAAGTTCAGAGATGTCATAAAAATTAAAGATAGAGTTGGCGATGAAGAAACAACAACGACAGAAAGTGAAGACGTTGAAGAAAAAGAAGAATCAAATGATGTGATTGGAAGCCAAGATCCCATTGAAGAACCAATAATACCTCAACAGTTTAAGGAAATGTTTCAGGAAGTGCTGGCAAATCCACAAGAAGCGATATCACCATTTAAAAAGAAGGCTGGTACGACTGTCAACGAAAGGATGGTGGATGACAACCAATCAGAAGATCGCAACGAAATACCAAATGAAACTAAAATTGTTGAATTCGGTGATGGAGAGGACTTAGAAAAAAGTTTGCCAAATACCTCAACTCAATTCTGAAGTCTTATTTCCAAACAACCACTCCGGATGTGTGCACGCAGGCTTTTAGGCAAGTTGGTATTGATTTCAGAATTGTTGATAGTGGTATGAGGGTTGCGTATGTAAATATTGGAGTGTCACGCAGAGTAACAGCAGAAATACCGAAACTGTTAAGTATACCACAGTTATACTCAATTGAATGCATCAAAACCAAAAGCTTGAAAATATCTGCAGTTCGAAAGCTTTCAATGTGTTTTGAGGGTTATTCGTGTCAGTCTGTTTGCAAGCCGTTAAAAAGAAAAGAACGGGATGTTGTATGTAAAGTTGTGAAGAAAAAGACGACCAAAAAAATCTCAAAAAGAACTAAAAATGGGGTTGAGAATTTAATCGATTAATTTTTATCTTTTTAATCAGTTGTATCGCCCAGTTCACATTACTGTTTCCTATCACAGGTCAGAATGGTCACTGTTTGAATCAACATATGTCTGAACTATCATAAGTCCTTCGAATAGAAAATATTCGTTTGTTAAACTTTCTTTCGTTATTGAGATATTAACTTGTAGAACTTGCTCGCAAAAACTCTTAAATTAAACGTTGCCTGCTTTGAATCGTCTAGCTGCTATGGCTGATTTGTCCAGTATTCCTGGGATTCTTTAGCGTGAGGTCTGAGTCAATTAGTTGGTAAGTGCTGGCTGGCTGTTCACACTCTGAAAGCTGCTTTGTAGGTTTCCAAACAAATTGAAAGAGAAAATGAACTGTAAATAAGTGATTTTTTTATTTGATCTTTTTGAATTTTTTGAAATAAAAAAATAATAATTTTATTACATAAAAGTTACACAATTGTAACTTTTGTTGAATCCACAGGGTTTTCTCATTCTCACATACTATTCTCACATACTGTAATAAAAAACGCTTATAAAACAAATAAAGTTTTTTTCACCTGTTTATTTAGCTTTTTTTGTTCTAATATTTTTTTAAAAAATTTTTGGGTACGAAGCCTTATAAACATAATTTAAAAATCAAGTCAAAAATGCAAGTGAGTGGCTACACATTTCCAACCAATCTCCCCCATGACGAACTTCCCGAGTTATTTGACACATATCAAAGAACCATTTTAAAACTTATTCGGACCGAGTTACTCTCTCCAATTGAATATCCAATGATCGACGCGCCCAGTGACAAAGAAGAGAAATGTAATTTATGTTTCATGACGACAACGAATTCTCCGCTCAATGAATTTGACACGTGTTGTGTTGGTAAAATGTACTTTTGCACGTTATGTTTATTAAATCACCCGGATTTCGACAGAGAGAAATTAACGTTGAAATGTCCGCACTGTAAAAAGCCAATCAAACTGAATTATAAAAAAACTTTAGAAAAATTTAAGAAGTCTCGTGTGTTCTTCTCAAAGCCATTAGCCTCTCAGTGGTACGAGAAAGAAGATTTAACACGCAAAAAGCCAATTTCAAAATTGTATGTCACCGAACCTCGCATGTACGTGACAGATGACGACGATGTGTTTTTTCAACATGAACCAGTCGACAACCCTCTACAAAGTGGAACACACAATATCATTCAAACGGGTATCGTTTCAGCCATTTACACTCCTTCAAAAACAAAGAAAGAGAAATTGGACTCTCCACCACTCGACGCAGAGACTTTAAAACACATCGAAAAGCAGTTCGAAGAGAGAGAAAAGGGTCAAACGAACACAAAAACAACTTCGTTGGCATCTGAGTTTTATAAAAAGATCAAACCCGAAGTCCTCCAAATATTTGAAGCATACGACGTCGAGATCCCCGACTTCTTACCTCCAGACGTTATCAACGACATCGACATAGAACTTATCGACACTAAAGAAACAGCACTCGCTATGATAGAAAGTGCCGCCAATTTTCTTTATGACAACATTTATTAACTCATTCAACTCATCTAATTCATTTTTCGTTATTACAATATGGCAAGTTTGACTTATACAACAACTATGTACGAAGTGGTAAATATTATAGTTTAATTATAATAAAATTTTAATAGAAATATAATTAATGAAATTTTCTATAATTAATATGATTTGATTTTAATTATTTTTACTATTGTTATTGGTTTCAAAACTATTATCCTAAACCATACATAACTAATTATACTTTTTAACTTTAAAGCTTTTAAGACTAAAATGAATAACGTTACTAGTCTAAACTAGTTAATTTAATTATTTGTTCTTCTCAATAACTCTAAGTATTAATAATAATAACAAATAATTATATTTTTATATTTATTTAACGGAAGTTACGAACATGAAAAACATCTAAATTTGCCGATAAAACGGGTCGGAGTGAAGGAAAATGAAATTACAAAATGCTTGGTTGTTGGTAGTCGTTTCTTTTCTTGGGGGGAGGAGGTGGAGCTCTTCCGGCGTCTGTCTCCGACTTAAAACTCAACGGCTTGTCTGCGATTTTTTGCTTCTTTGGGAACACTTTTTGTTGTTTTCTTGGAGGCAAGTCGGGTTTAGGTTTTTCAGGTGTTTGTTGAGCTGTTGGACTGAGTGATTTTGGGGAAGATTTCTTCTGAGGAGTTATTTGGAGGTTTGGAGAGGAAAACGTTGGACTTGAATGTGTTGGTGGGATTTTAGTTTCTGCGGAATTCGTTTTGTGATGGACAGGAGCGAATTGAGGACGTGGCGGAGGTGGAGGGTTGCGACGAGGGACGGCGGTTGTTGGATTCGAACGAGCGAGTAAAAAAGGTTTAGAAGGTTCTTGGTCTGCGGAAGGGAGGGAAAGACTTGTTTTAAAAGTGTTATCGTGTGGCGTGTCGAAGACTTCTTTATAATTTTCTATAAGAAATCTAGTGCAAGCAAAACAGTCACTATTATTCGAACTAATCATATCAACTACATTCACTCCAGTGAAGATATTAACACCAAAGACTGTTTTATTATTTCATTGTTAAATCAATCAAATTGAAAAATATTTAAAAAAATCAAAAAGTGGGTTGGAAACTTCACTGAAACACTAAAAAACAAACTGATGGAAATATTCGAGACATTCATTTTATTAATAGCTGACGCATCACACACTAATCGGAGATAATGTAATAACATTTTTAACGTTGAATAGTACACTCTATTAGTAAACACCAGAGTTTATCAATTTATATATTTAGCAAGAACAAAGAACATGTTGAAATAACTCCATTTAATCTTGAAATATCTTGCATATCATTACTTTATTATTACCAAACCAATAACATATTATAATTTCGAAAAGTCTAGTAAATTTAAAATATATTATTAATATATTATTAATATATAGTTAATATATAGTTAAAATAATAGTTTAATAAGGTGTAAAATAAAATAACAAACGGTGGTAAAAAGGAGAGTATATTTTGAATGTTTTTAATTTTAGTAGGATAAAATTTGTCGTCCATTTGAACGGTTGCGATGATCATGTCTGTCTATCTGTAAACATTTTTTTTTACTTAGAACGAATAGTAAGTTTATAATAAAAGTAAAGCTATTTGAGAGAAGAACTAACGTTTTCCTTTTTAACTAAAGAGTCTGGCAATTCTCTAAAAAACGCTTTGAGAACAGCCGCCACGGTATGGATGTCATAGTGTGTCAATTCGACGTGCTCTCCTTTGTTAAACATTTTTTTAATTAAATTGATGTCTTCGAGTTTCCCACTAATTCGAAATATGCCCTCCGCTTCTACACGAGCTGGTTTCTCCGTGAGGTATGTGATCAACTCATATACTGGAAATGGAACGTTCTGCATAGTCGGAACGCTTTCTAAGAGTACACCAAATACCTTCCCCATTGATTTCACAGTTCACTTCGCCTTTTTTTCATGGCTTCGAAATTACTAGAATGTGTAGTTTATTTTTAGTATATTATAGTATTCCGGCCGTTTAAAAAAAAACGACGTAACTCCAGTTTCTTTCAAATTTGGTTGTAATTTTACTCTCTCCTGTCATTATAAATCTATTAATTCAGACTTGGAAAAAAAATATCAGTTCGGCGAATCGATTTTTGGTTGAAAAATTAGTATTAATCGAAAACTGATTACTATACTTTATATATATATTTATTATAAAGTCTAGATAAAAAGCACCAATTAATAATATTTTTAAAAATTGTCATTTATATTTTAGTTAATAGTAATTCAATATATTTTTAAATAGTAATGTAACATTATTATAGTATTAATAAAACTATATAAATATAATTTTATTTATTATAAATGTAATTGACACACATATAAACCTTTATTATAATAATAATATATATATAATAATAATTTATATTAAAACATAATTTAAAATATTTCTTTGTGTAAATACTCAACAATAAAATATACTATAATATCAATTATAATTAAATAACTATGATAATAGTTACATTTAATTACTATATTTAATAATATATTAATGATAAAAATATATAAAATACAATCTACTATATATAAACCATATTATTAGTATATAACAAGAACAATAAAACGACATATAAATAAATTACACAAGTTATATCTTTTTTTGCTGAAGCGATGGTAAGACTTTTGAACATAAATCGGCCATTTCTAACGGAAGGTTAAGCACCAAAGGCATGAAAGGAAGTCTTTTTGGACGAGAGACTTTGTCTGTCATTGCAATTAGCTGATCGAGGTTCTTCGCGAATTGGGCAATTTGCGGTGTACATATATTCAATTGTTTATTTTCTAGTTCTTTCAAGATCTCGTCGTTTTGGGAGACCAATCTAAAGATGTCGAAATCCGAGTTTTCATCGTTTGGGCTTTGTGAAGTCAAAAACGTTGTTTGAGGTTTTCGATGAGTTTTAGGGAGTGGGGTGTCTGAGTGTATTGTTTTGAAACTTTTTTGAGAAGAGAAAGATACGAGTGATCGTGGAGGTCGTGGGGAAGATTGAGAATTTTCCGAAGAGTTTTCTGAGAGTTGTGAGGAATGTTCAGAAAGATTTGGTCGTGAGTTGCGAGATGGTGAGGTAAAGACACGTTTCTGACTTTTCTTTGAAAATTGGTCCCAAGACTCTTTCTGGTTTGTGAGACAATGACAACACAAGATTGAAATGGCGGAACGAAAGAAGTTCGAAGGATATAAAAGCGCAAAAAACAAACTGAATTTTCGCGAATCCACTGGATTCGAAGGGAAATCTGTTGAATGGATTTGTGAGGAAACCATGGCGCGATTGAAAGAACAGACTTCAAGATGTTGTCGTTGGGGTCAAAGCTGTTGATGAGTCTTTTCAAGTGTTAGTGATGGCAACATAAAAAGTCAAGAAGAAAAAGTAACAAACTTCGCGGTTTGTTGTTCGAGTAATATTGTTTCGTCATATGACCAATTGAACGAATCAGGAGAGCTAACGCTCGATATTAAATTCGATAATGTTGAATATACAGGTACCGACGATAGACTATGCGGTGGGTTGACAGTTATCATTGCATTTCCCAGGTCTTGTTTCATTTTATTTACCTTCGTTCCTTCTTGGCTTTTTGAAACGAAAAAAAGTCGAGGTTTCTATTGAATGGCACTTTGAGACTTGTGCATTGTGTTGAATTATATTATAATATAAATAGTTTAAAAATACCATTTAAAATAGAATACATTACTTTTTATGTGAAAATTGAAAAGTTCTTGCTGTTTCTCTTTGATCACAATTTCCCGAATGTTTATGTAATATTCTTATCTATATTATGATGGTGTTTTTTAGAATTTATTAGTTTCACAAAGATTTTATTTTTGTTGGAAGAATTTTGCATATCAACCGATTTCTATATCTATTTTTATAATGAAATAATCTGCTGGTTTTGATTCAGTAACTAAGTTAAAATATTCCCTGGTTTTTGAATGAAAAACATGTAAAACTTCATTACACAAATTATCAGTAAATAATATTTGTGTAACTCGATTTCTTGATTCAAGTTGTATTTTTAATAATGTTTTAGTTGTTCACAAAAATAAATAAATTATTTGATTATGTAATAAATATATAAAATATATAGTAATTTTGACACGTTTAATTATTATTAGAATTATATAATTAAATAAATAATTATTTTTTGTATGTTTTGGATGGGCATTAAAATTTTGAAATAAATTTTAATTTAAAAGTATAGTTTTTTGAATTATAATTATACCAATTAAATACATTTTATAATTTAAAACAGGTTTTTTTAATTTAAAGTATAATATCATATTTTAAATTATATTATAAAAAAACATTATTATATTTCATAATTAAATATTTTATATATTTTGGTTGTTAGAATAATTATATTTGTGATTTAATAATTTTTTTTATTAGATCTTTAAAAAAAATAGAAAATAATTTATATTAATAAAATAATACTTAAAGAATGGGGAGAAAGCCACACCACATTTTTTCACATGAAAATTGTTTATTTTTTCGGGTATTTTTTAATGGAATTTTTCTTTGAATTTTTCTTCCCGAAAATTGACTTGAATTAAATACTGAAAAAAAAGTGGTGTGTCTTTCTCCCCATACTCATGCCTCGGAAAAATTTGCTTTTCAAGAAAAAAAGACTGAAGAGGCTGTTTTTTTGCGGCAAAAAAATTGTCTTTGGTAAAGCCATTTTTAAAAATACGAAAATAAACGGGACATTAGGTTATATTGAATTGTGATTCCAGAAGATTCAATAATTTTTATCAAATTGTTTTTGATAAATTAACAATTTATAAATACTTATCGTTTTTTTATGTTTTATTAGCACAATAAAAAAACATAATTTAAATAACGAAAAGATAAATTTAACATATGAATTTTATTAACATATTTTCTTGTATAATTAACACACCAAAAAAATAAAATTAATTAACGAAAAAAACAATTAACAATTTAAAAATATTTATCGATTTTTCTTGTAAAATTAACACAGCGAAAATTTACAAATAATTTAACGCAATCAAAATTAACATCTTACTATTATTAACGTTTTTACATGTTAAATTAACAAACTAAAATGTAAATAATTAACGATAATTCAATAAAAAATATGTATTTCAAATAAATTACATTGTACAATATCTGTTTGTAATTACAAACATTTATTTGTAATTATTAATTAAATATTTTATTTGTTACAGAATCGACAGAGTAAAATATTTAAAACCACAATTAAACAAACATTATTTGATAATTAAACAATACCGTTTCATTGAAATTATATTTCAAAGAATGACTTGTTATAAATATTTAATTTATTATAAATTATAAACATAAAAAATGAATAAAATGATGTCATGTGCATGATCAACATATAAGACTATGGTCATTTTTCAACATGGAATAAAAATTGCATCACAATTAACAACATTTTTTATAATGATAAATCATTTGTGTTAGAAAAATACTATTATTTTAAATTTTTTAATATATATCTTTCAACCTGTTTATAATTTTGTTGATACTTATTAATGTACAACATAATTGTTTTAGTATTATATATTTAATTCTGAATTATATTGTTAAAATAAATGTATTGTAAAATGTATAGCATTGGTCATTCAACGTGCCAAACAATGACTATATAAGCAGTTGATTTGTCTGGAAAAAATACATTTTAACAAACAGTTAGTTAATAATGACATCAATAAAAAACATGATTATAACTTCTTTTGTATTTTAATGAACAACAAAAACACCAAATTGAAAAATATAAAACATTGTAACGGTCCATTTGTTTCAAATCATAAACAAATAGAAGTTTACGCTTTACTTTGTTTAAACATCAAAAACACAACAATAAATTTAATTTTCATTATATGGACAGTAATATTTAAATAAGGTACAACAAATTGTGTATTAATATATCATTTAAAACAGCTTATATTTTACATATATAAGTTCAAATCAATAAACACGAAATTGTGACTTTTATGTATTTGAACTTGATTTTTTTGTAAAAAAACTTTTTGACATTTGAACAAAAGTGGGTAAATTCATTACTGATTCAACTTCAATACATATTTGTTGTTTTTAAACATTTCGTTGACAATATATCAACAACAATATTAAAATATGTTAATAAAAAATACACAACTATAGTTTTTAATTCATGTTAATTCTTAGACTACTAAAAATGATTTTAATGTCTTATGTACACGTTTAAGTGAGTCGCAAGTTAAATCCTAAAATTTGTGTAAACTGTGATACTTTTTTAATTTTATTGTTATCTTTTAAACTTTTAGTTTTATGTTACATTTTTACACATCTTAAAGTTACCACTTTTAATATTTTAGGCTGTTTTTAAATCACCAGTGTAGCAATAAACGGTAAAACCCAATACACCAACTGTTGTTATCAAATCAATGAAAATTACTAATTAACAAATGCTTCCATTTTAATTAATCATAATAGTTGTAGTATTATCAAAATATACATGTTCACTTTTTGTGTTGTAATTTAAAAAATGATAAAACGATTGTTAAAAAAAATATTTGGATTAATATCTCAGTTGCACATCATTTTCAACAAAAAATTGTTGATATGAAAATTGAGGATATGGAAGTGATTGCACAATGAAATTATTAACAATTGTTTATATTTGATTTTTCTTTGTATTAACAAATCGTCAATGCAAACACATATAATTACAATTAATAATTGAAAATAACAATGTCATTAACAGTCATTATTCATTCAAAAATTCAATTTTACAATTACACTTGTATTAACAAATATGTATATCTATTATTAAATTATTTAAACTTTTAACTGTGTTGATAACTGTGTTATGTGAATAATTGGAAACACCTTTTTACTAAAAGTTAACAAATGTATAATTATTCAAAATAAATTTTAATGATATCAAAATATAAATCAAAAAATAACAGAAATGATCAATTGAAATATTTAATTTCGATTTGATTATAACTGTATATATTGTTAATCGTATGTGTATTAACGTAAAACAGACTATTTTAAAATTATATAAATATAAAACTTGCAAACTTTTTTGTTGTTAAAAGTTTGGCATCAAACATAAACTGTTAGATTCGAATATAATTAATATGATTTATTTTTACAACAAATTTTTATTATTGAAAATGTGTATATCTGTATTAATAAGTATATTATGTAAACCGAATACCTCGACTACTAATAGGTTATAAACCATTATTGATTAAATATTAATTATTGGATTTTAAAAAACAATAAAGAAAATACAAATGATGTGATTGTTTTGAAATTGATAATTGATATCTGATGTGCCCGTTTAATTTATTAATAAATCATTTTTTTGTTTATCAACTACAATAACTTTTAGATGTATGAAATTTTATAAAACTTGTAACAACTCGAATGTTTTAAAAAGAAAGAAAAAATGCAACCAACAGTCAAGAAATTACTTTTATTTTGTTATTTAATTTTATATATTACAACAACACCTGGAATTCAATTATGTTACGTCAAACTATTTAATCGGGCTTACATGATACCGAGAATTTACATTTCTGAACTGTCTCATCTTTTCTTTTTTGGTTTCATGTTATTGGTAATTCAGTTGGTGTTTATTTTCAGATTATGCCTTTTTGTAACGATATATTTAATACAATGCTTTTAATATATTTTTGATAGATATTCCATTATATTACTTGTAAAAGAGGATCAATGTCATTGTTTGCATCCACAATAGTCATTAAGATTATAAGTTTAAAAAATCACATATCAATTACAAGTGTATGTTTCAAGAAATTACATTAACAGTTTTTAGTCTACAATTATAAAGCAAATATATACTCTAAAATACCACATACAAATAATACAGCTACGACTATTGTGTTAATAACGGGTTATTAATAACAAATTTTTGTTGCATGTTTGATGAAATTTTAATTATTAAATTGATAACAAAATAATAATTTAATAAGTTATTATAGATATTTTATTTAATAAAACTATAATAATTTTATAATAAATTATTATTTAATTAAACTATAAAAATATAAAATAATTAATTATAACAATTATTGTTACAAACTTATAGTTAAGTTATTATTAATTTTAATAATAAATAAAAATAAAATCCCATAATGTTATTTTTAAATAGTAATTCATTTAATAACACAATGAAAACACAGTAATAAAATAATTGAAGTGTTCTTAAGGTGTGTTTGGTTAAAAACATTTTTCTTCATGTCAATAATTAATAATTAAAATTGTTAATAAAAAATATTATAATTTGTTATAAAATGAATATAATTACAGGTTAAATAAATAGTATAATACATGTCAAGAATGTTCACATAAACTAAATAATAAATAAAATTTAATTGTAATAATGGTAACTATTATAATTAAATGATTAGTTCTAATTACTATTTTATTATACTATTTCTAATTTATTTAACATTATTTTATTTGAATTTGTATATTATTTAATTATATCAAAATGATTAAATTTATTATACTTTTAGTTTTTTTGTTAATTTTATTTAAAAAATTATGTTCAAAATGAATTTAAATTATTAATTTGTGGATTAACAATAATTTATTAATAGTTTAATTTTTTCGGTTTATTTGTGACTTTATTTTACTATTAATATTTAGTTGTTATTAATTTCTTATATAGTTTTTATAAATGTTTATATTTGTTTTTAGAAAATGTTATTTGAATGTTTTGACAAAATGTACTATTTCTTAATATATTATTTATTACATAATTTAATACATAAATTCATTGTCGTAAATTAAACATTAGTTAAGATATCGTTAATTTTATTATATTGTTATAATAAATTTGTATAATTTATTATATCATGTATATACTATAACAATTAACCAGTTGTTAATAGTTTAAATACTAGACGTTTTTACTATTGTTCTATAAAAGGGAGTAACCATGAGGTGAGTTTTATTTTAATTTGCCAAAAAATATTTTAGTGCAAAAAAACAAATTTTTCCAAGGCATGCCCATACTGTAGAATGATTTTCTTATTGTTTTTATTTTTGTTTAATGTAGGTATTTGACAAATAATGTTATAAATTCAAAAATATTTTTATTAAAATTTTAATGCTTTTCTTTTTTACATTACTAATTTTAATAACATGTAAAAAAAATTAAAAATTAAATTAACTATCAAATTAACTATAATTATTTATAATTTATATGAAAAAGTTATTTATGATGAACAATGAATTTTAATTAATTCTTGAAAAAATCCATCTATCTTATTATATTATTTTTATATTATATGTAACTATAATATAATATTAAAAACAAAAACATTATTGTTTTTTCAATAATAATAACTAATAATTAATATAATTATAATTAAATTTTTATTATTTTTTATGTTCTTCATTTCAGCAAATTTGAAAAACTTAAACCATTATGATTACATTTATATACAAATTATAAAAGATAAATTATAATTATTATTATTATTAAAAATTTCTCTTTAAAATAATTAAAAATGCCAAATTTACAACAATACAACAACCTAATAATTAAAAAAATAATTTAAACCATGTTCTTTTTTTTACTTAAAATAATTCAAAACATTTGAATAACCTTCAGAACATATTATAAATTATTATTAAACTATACATATTTACTATTAAAATTATAGAAAACCATTAGTTATTTTAATAATAAATATAATACATTTAATATAACTTATAACACTCAAAATGAAGCGAAAATAACAAGTTAAAACTAAAGTATTGCACAACATGAACTTGAAGTACCCCCCTTCTTGTCATCTTCGGGCTTAGCGTTTTTGTATCTGTACTCCACCAATTCCTCGTCTTCCTCTTGGATGGCTTCTTGATATTCAATGAGTTGTGCAGACTCGTCCATCCACTTTTTGGCCCCATTTAAATAGAGCCCAATCCCTTCCTCCGCTTTCATGTGAATAGCCTCGGCAATAAACACAATCGCATCCTTGACACTCAAATTCCCGTCCACTCGTAAAATTTTGGCTATAACCGGGTATGAGCTTGGAAACCTCAACTTCATGGTAACCACTTTAGTCATTCGAAAACTTGACAAGGGATTGAGCTTTCCCAGTTTTGTCAACTTTTAATAGTTAGTCTCTTCTTCTTGGACTTTTTCATTTACTTATTATTACTATATAAGAGTTATTTTTTACTATAAATACGATCGCTTTTATTTTGGAAAATCATTACATTTAAACAGGTTCTGATTTCCCATATTTATCACCGAATTCACAAGTAAAAGTTGAGTACCGAGTCAATTTGGTATTAACTCGACTAAAACTTTTCGTTATTGAATAAAATTGAAGTTCTTATTATTCAGACGGGACTAATTAAGTACATTATACACAATACTCTCAATCAAAAGAATTATAACAAAAATTGTTTTTATTCCTTCGTTCGCCCATTCGAGCACTTCAAACAAATAGATTATCTTGTCTGTTGATTTCGTCATACAAATGCTCGAATTTTTTCTGTTGATCAGTTACAACTCACTTGTTGCTTCTACACAAATAGAAAATCACGTAAGAAAAAACAAACTGAAAACACAGGTAAATCCTTTGGCATCAAAGGATCGTCCTTCATATCTGGAATGCTGGAATCTATTTCCATAGCCTCAAGCATCTCGGGTTTGTTTTTTATTTCCTCAAAGAAGTCTTCCATCTGAGCTGTCATGTCGTCTTCTTCGTCCTCTCCATCGTCTTCATCTTCGTCATCATATCCGTATCCATAGTCCTCGTCTTCCTCTCCACTGATCTCTCCAGTTGTTTCGCTTGCTGGTATTAATTCCTTTCTCAACTCTTCGTGGTATCCGTTCACGTTTTTCACAAACTCCTCACTGTTGAGTCCATTTTTTGTAAGCGCTTCTGCGTATTCAGTATTTTGATACATATCATAAATAAGTTCGTTTGCAAAAGACTTCATCTCTTTGTTGTTTTCGTCGTTTTTAAGTTTGTCCCACAACTTCGCCTCATCCAATGTGGCAATGACCTTATCCGCCATTTTCATTTTGACCATCTCACTTAAAATACCCAACGCAGACTTGATCATGATTGTGGACGTCTTATAATCGTCGTTTGCTAGTTTGGCAACAGTCAACGCAAGGATGTGGTGTCCAAATAACGAATCAATGATTGACTGTTGGTGTGAGTGGACAAGATAATAGACAGCTTCACACCATATTTGGAATATGTAGTCTTGTTTGATCTTTTCAGTCCTAACTGTTTTGGGGGGTTCAGAAAGGATCACGGCAAGTTTATCAATGTATGCCTCAAAGTGACTGTAGAATGGCAACGGTGTGATCTGGGCTGGTGAGCTTGGATCGACTGGATGAGTTTTCATAAGGCGAATAAAACTCACCACTGCCTGTTCCATCAGGTACAAATCTTGCTCCTAACTGTCATCTCTTTCCGCCAAACTTGTCATTTTATCACAAAAAAAATCTCACAAGTAAATTAAAAAATAAAACTTTGAAAAACAAAAAGAATAACAAAAACAACAACAAACGCCTAAACTGAACATCGCTTCAAAAAACGGATCAACCATGTTGATGTTCGTTGTCTCCACAAGGTCTCTGTTTGATGTTGAATCGTTCACTAACGACGCAAAGTCCTGGATTTTCTGTTCAGCCAACCCACTCATTTTGTCAATTTGAAGTTTATCAGATTTTCGAGATCTCCTGAAATTTTAGAAATGAGAGTTCGAGATTGATAAGCCAGAACAACGGGACATTTAAGCGTTGAAAAAAGACAAAAATTTGTAAAAGATGAAAAAAATAGGAAATAATTCTGATGGAGAACAAGTTACCCCATGACGAAATGATCAAACTGGCCGCCGAGTTTAACGACGAGATGGTCCAACTTAACCGTGCACAACGCGAAAAATTCAACGTCCCCATTCGTCACCCCAAAGAAGACCAAGCACCGCAGATAACCACAGAAGATGTGCGCCGTAAACAAATTGAGAATGACCTTGGTATCACGTCGGGTTCTTTCAAGTTCAAAAAGACAAAAACAAAACACGAAGATATAATACCCGACAAGCCCGAATCAAAACGGCCAAAAGAAGATGCCAACGAAATTGTTGACATCAAAAAACCTTTGGAGATGAAAAAGGTTGAAGACACATCTCTCTCTGACAAACTCGCAGCATTCGAGCTCTCTCTCAAAGATTTTGATATGGATTGAATAACATTTTGAATAGCAATTCAAATGGTTATCAAAATATGTGATTGTACTAGTAATTTAATTAATATTAATACTACACATAATCAAATTAATAGTTGTAATAAACAAACTATAATAAATAGTAACTTCACTTTTCTTTTTTTTTGGTTTTTTCACAATGAAATAATACGCGAAACTATACTAAAATTAATAACAAACTATACATACTACTAACGTTTTCTTTGGCGTTGGGGCGAACTCCAAAAAGTAAAATACATGGCGTACGCAAGGACTGAGTTGCCACTGAACGGTGAGCGTGAGACCGGCGCTGATGTCCGTACGCAAAATGTCATGGCTGCTGTAGCCATTGCGAATGTAGTGAAAAGTTCCTTTGGGCCCATTGGTCTCGACAAGATGTTAGTTGATGAGATTGGAGATGTCACGATCACCAACGATGGAGCGACGATTCTGAAGCTTCTTGAAGTTGAGCATCCAGCGGCGAAAGTCTTAGTAGAACTTGCAGATTTGCAAGATAAAGAAGTAGGTGATGGTACTACGACTGTAGTTATATTAGCAGCTGAGTTACTTAAATATGGCAACGAGTTGATTCTTCAAAAGATCCACCCCTCCTCTGTGATCAGTGGGTTTCGCCTTGCGATGCAAGAGGCCGTCAATTTCATCCGAAAGATAGTAGTCCACACAGATGGGCTTGGGCGCAACGTATTAGAACAAGCTGCTGCGACATGCATATCTTCGAAGGTCATTGGTGGAGTTGATTCCGAACACTTTTCTAAATTGGCTGTTGACGCGATGCTGCGAGTGAAGAGGATTGTGAACGGGAAGGCGAAGTACCCAGTAGATGGTGTAGTTGTCTTAAAAGCGTTTGGGAAGTCATCCAAGGAGAGTGTATTAATCGACGGTGTTGCTGTGAATTGCACTATAGCGTCTGAGCAGATGCCGAAGCATAAGGAGAACTGTCGTGTAGCGTTACTGGACTTCAGTTTGATGAAAGAAAAAATGCGCCCGGGAGTGCAATTAGTGCTGACGGATCCGACTGAAATCGAGAAGTGCCAAGACCAAGAGATGGCGATTATAGTGAGACGCATTCAAATGGTTATAGAGTCAGGAGCGAATGTAGTGTTTGTGTCTGGAGGGTTGGACGATATGTGTGCGAAGTACTTTGTAGAGAAGAACATAGTTGTAGTCAGGAGAGTGTCGACGGGGGATTTGAGACGTATTGCAAAGGCTACTGGAGCGACTGTAGTTGAGTCGTTAGTGAACTTGGAAGGCATTGAAAGCTTTGAACAGAGCAATTTAGGGAAATGCGGGACGTTTGATCAAGAAAGAATTGCAGATAATGAGTTGATTGTCTTGAGAGGATGCGGAGATGGAGCGTCAGCTACTATTTTACTGAGAGGAGCAAACACATCGATGTTGGACGAAATGGCGAGAAGCTTACATGACGCGCTGTGCGTGTTAAGAAGAGTGTTGGAAAGTAACACCGTCTCGGTGGGTGGAGGAGCAGCGGATGTTGCGTTGAGTGTCCATCTGAGCGAGTACGCAACGACTTTGGAAGGAAGAGAACAACTTGCAGTACAAGCATTTGCGGACGCGCTGTGCGTCATCCCAAAGGTGTTGGCGCAAAATGCGGCGAAAGACGCAACAGAGTTACTTGCACAAATGAAAACAAAACACTACGCAGCACAGAAAAAGGAAGAGAAGTGCTATATTGGACTCGACTTGATCAATGGAAAGGTCAGAGATAACTTGGAGGCGGGAGTAGTCGAACCAGCTGTCTCTAAGGTCAAGTGCATCAAATTTGCTACAGAGGCCGCAATCACTATCCTCCGTATCGATGATATGATTAAACTCAACCCAGAACCACAGCCACAAAGAGGACAAGATTACTAAGACATTTTTCGTGAGTTATTTTGGGATTATTTTATTTAATATTTAATAGAATAAAGTAGGTGTTTTTATTTGGAATGGATTGATGGATTAATTCAGTTGAACTAATTAATTTAACTAATCACATAGTTAAAATAAAAAGGTTTTGTTATAGTAATATAACCCTATGTAATATTATTTTAATAATAAAATATACTATAATCTGTCTATCAATTTTATTTATTCCATTAACCTAATTTATTGACAAAAATATAATATAATTTTTGTTATTCAGTTTTGTTTTAAAATATATTTTGTTTATTGTAATTCTTGGTTTTTCAATCAAAAAAAAACTTTTTTTATTTGGATTTGGTTGTATTGGAGACGGAATGAATAGTTGGGTTGCAAATGATTGAAGCAGATGACCCAGTAGAGGTGTAGGCGTTAACTGTATATAATCGGCCCGTGCATCCGAATCTGTGAGTTCAACATAATCTACTGATGCTCGGTCATTATAAAGAGTGGGGAAAAAGTAACACCAGGGAGAAAGCCACACCATAATTCTTTTCGATTCTTTTTACTCAAAAGAACTTTCTTTTTTATTTATAAAATAAATTCAATAAAAATGGTGTTTTTGTGTGATTTCGGAATCGTGTTAATTCAAGTTTTATTATTTTTGATAAGTATTTACTACCTTTATAAAGTTCTAAAATATGTAAATTTTTCCTAACCAACAAATTTAAATTTACATCAATACAAAATAATGAAGAAATATTTCGCAATATATATTAAAAATTATGAAAAAAATGTGATATAATCAAGACAAACTTTGGCAATTATCATCGAATGATATGTCAATTATCAATTACAGTTATCATATTTTTATTAATCTGTATACTTTTAGTATTAATACATCGATTATAAACAACAACAATTTAAATTTGAATTTTATTAAATTTATTTAGATTAACATATTATACAATATAACTATATTATTGCTTTGAAAAATATTCTAAACCAAACCCACCTTAAGAATTATTCAATTACTCTTTGAGAAATAAATTATCTTTTGATTTGAAGTACTCTGTTAAACTAATATTATGGGTTTTATTTTAACTATAATATATAATATAATTATTATACAAATATGATATATTAATATACTTATTATTTTTAAATACATTTTCCATGTTTCAATATTTCATATTTTTAACAAAAAGAATCGAAAAACCATTTAACCAAGTCGAATTACGTTTGTAGTTTTCGATATTAAACTACTTGGGAAACATCACTATTCTCATACTCATCTTCGAACTCCGGCATGTCGTGTGCAGCTATCACTTTTTTCCTTCCAACAAATCGCTCTCTTTCAAAAGACACTGGTTCACACAAGAAAGTCATCATCAATTTCGATCTTTCTGGGAAGAACTTGACACGCAAGCAAGTCTCTCCGCCCTTGACGCACTGGGTGTTAAAGAATCCACACTTTCTAAACGCGTTGACAATGGTAACACCAGAAGTCGCTTTGTCCCAAGACGCGTAGATAGAGATTATTTGTTTGGACAAAGGACTTCTGGTGAATTCAACCAAATCAGCCTTTGTCAATCTACCTGCATATAGATCCCTAATGATGTCTTTTTTCTTGCCTTTGGCACTGTTGGCTTCTTCTAAGTTCAAAGTACCCAAAACATGGTCCAAAGATTGCAAATCAATCGGTTCGAGACTCAAGTCTTCGTCAACTTGAGGAAGTTGGATAAGTTTCTAATGTTTAGTTTATTATAATTAATGTTTAATAAATTTATAATTTAACACAAAACAAACTTTTTGAACTCCAAACACAGACACATCAAGTGGTTGAGTAATGTGTGAAGAGTGTGGGCACAATTTCAACACAGCCACATGGTTGTCGGTGAACCACTTAGATGCTTCTTCACTGAAATGTGAACCAAGACCATCCATCACCACCACTGCCCACTCGTCCTTGTTCTTTGCTCTTCTTTTGTTTAGTTCTGGTAGAAGAACATTCTTCTGCCAATAAACAAAGATGTCTTTGGTCATGAAAGCCTTTGGTTGGTAACAAATGGTTATTTGGTCAAGAGGAAGGTACTCTTCAATGTCAAAGTTTATTGTTTTTCTGGACACAATAAATAGTGGCTTGAGCTTGGTGTTGTCACCCCAAATCCCACCAACCAAAGTCACTCTCCTCACACTTCGGTCAACCGGGAAGAACGTTTTAAGAGGCTGCGACTTGTCACAATAAGTATTCTTTTTCTTGGTGTCAACAAAAGGAATGAACCCACTCTCGTCAATGTTGATAATAAAACGTGGATCAACACCAACTAAACGTTGTTCATTGCGGCAGTATTGGTGTTCGTTGTTGAGTAAACGTTTTCCACGTTCAATGTATTCTCTCAACAACTCGGGATTAAGTAGAGCTCTTTCACTTTCCATTGGGGAAATCTTGATGGGTTGTATTTCCGTATTATGTCTGACCCAATCGAGTGACTGCTTTTTGCTCAACTCTGAAACACATTTCGAACCAACCAACTTACAAATTGCAGCAGAGTCCATTGGTCTTGTGGTGTTTTGTTTGTCAATATTTTCCTTGACAATATCTCCTTTGCATCTTCAGTAATTAATGGAGCTCTTCCTGTTGGTTTTTGGACTTCGGGCTTTTTAGCGAGTCCTTTACACGTTTCATAATTACGTCCAAGTACTTTTGATATTGATGCCATTGAAAATGTTGTATTGGCATCTTTAATGAAAATAATTTGTTCTCTTAAATCCTTTTTGTTTAATATTTCGGGTTCATTTTCTTTACAAAAAGTTATGATTTTATCATTTTTAATTGGATCAATAACTGTATAACACATTTTTTGGTTGGTTTTGATCTATGGTAAAACCTTTTCATAATCAATGAATGTTGTTATTAGATTTGGGAAAAGCAAAATAAATGAAATATTGTTCAAAAAGGCTTTGTACATTTTATATTTTCAATTTGTTTGTGTTTCAGTTGTAATATTTTGGTTTTATAATTGGTTTGTTTATTTTGTAAAAAAACGGGAAAATTCAACAATTATCATTGAAAAAGTTGTTTATTTTATGTCAAAATTACATGGTTTCAAATTTTAATTGAATTTTTAAAAATCCTTAAATCGTTATAATTGTTGTTTGTATCTTGAATGTTTGTAACTGAACTATAGTTCTTTTTAAAGTGTGTTTATTCAGCACAATATTTTTAAAGTTTTGCATATTAAATTGTGATTAAACATCGACAGGTGGTAAAAACAAATATGGTCTCAAAAGTACCAATTGTCGATTTACTTTATTTAATTCTGTGTAATAAAAACAAAGTGATATATCAATAACTGTGTAATTATATAAACGTATCTAACACTAAATTTTTAAATTTATTTAAATGTCGTGTATGTGAGATATGTATGTTCAAATACATATCCTTTGAAAAAGATATGTATTTTTTTGCTTTTTTGGAGAATATCTCAGTTTTTTCGATTTGTTATTAACTATTAAATAGAATTTGTCTTGGATTAAACTTGAAACACAATAAAACTTATTACATCAAATTATTATAAATTAACTATATAAAATTATTATTTAAAACTTGTTTTTTAATATAGTCTTTTTATTTTTTTAAAAGAGTAAATAATTGCAATCAACATAAAGAAAATTAGTAAAACTTGAATCAACACGATTCCGAAATCACACAAAAACACCGTTTTTATTGAATTTATTTTATAAATAAAAAAGAAAGTTCTTTTGAGTAAAAGAATCGAAAGAATTATGGTGTGGCTTTCTCCCTG